AAGGAATGAATCGAGCCTTGCTGGAGTGGGAACTCACTCCCGGAGAGTGGCACCAAGCCATCCATGTGCCCCCATGACCCAGCACCTCCCACTAGGCCCCACCTCCTCACACTGCCACACTGGGGATCCGTGTGGAGACAAACAAACCATATCCAATCCATAGCAGTCATCAAAGGCCAGGTCCTTGGTGGTCCTGGTGAGAATTTTTCACTTTACCCTGAGAGCAAGGGAGAGTCATCAGAGCATTATCAGTTAGCTTTGGCTGTGTAACAATTATCCCCAAACATAGTGGCTTAAAATGACCACCTCTTATTTAGCTCAGGAGCCAAGTTCAGCAGTTTGGGCTGGGCTCAGTTGGTGGCTCTTCTGGCCTGGGTCAGCTCCTCTGATCCTAGCTGGGCTTGTCTGTTGTCTGTGGTCAGCTGGCAGGCCGTCTGGGGCTGGCTGGCTTATGATGACCTTGAAAAGGATAGCCGGGGGAACTGGGACCTCGTGTCATGTGTTTTTTCATCATTTGACCTTGTGGTCCCCAACACCCAGGCCATGGACTGGTACCAGTCTGTGGCCTGTTAGGAACGAGGCCACGTAGCAAGAGGTGAGCGGCGAGCGAGTGAGCAAGGGAAGCTTCATCTGTATTTATAGCCACTCCCTAGCCCTCACCATCACCACCTGAGCTCCCTCCTCCAATGCATGGAAGAATTGTCTTCCATGAAACCAGTCCCTGGTGCCAAAAAGGTTGGGGACCACTGATTAACCAGCTAGCCCAGGCTTATTCTCATGATGGTTGCAGAGGTTGAAGAATGTGGGAGGAGAAGCTGCAGATCTTAAAGCCTGGGCGCAGAACTGCAGAGCATCACTTCTGCCGCTTTCTGTTGGTCAGAGCAAATCACAAGATCATCCCAGGATGGTGGAGAGGAGAGCTGGAGGGAGCTGGGCTCCTGATCACTTTGTGGAGCTACCATACCACCTTGGACTGCCTGGCCAGAGTTGCTGCTGGGGGCTCACAGCTGCCCCTTCTCTGGAGAACTGCTCTTGGCTGGATGGGAGCCATTTCGCCTGGGAGGGTATGTTCTCCCGACCCGGGGTGGAATCCCCTCTGTGGTACAGGTCACACCCCAGAGCTCCCGGTGGGATCAGGCTGAGGCCAGTGTCTTGCTGAGACCATGCCGCTGCTTAGCGCCGTCCCTTCCCCATGCTGCTTGCCTTGCTCTGCTTCTCCTGGCAACATGCCCTCAATCACTCGGCCAGGAATCCCCATCTCAGGTGCTGCTTCTAGGGACCCAACCTAGACACCCTGCTCCTGTCTCCTTGCCCGTGATGAGCCCCTGAAGGAGAATTCGGCAAGCCTCGACTCAGATCTGTCTCTCCCACTGGCTCTAACGGGAAGAAGGGAGATGTCGAGTCGTATGAAGGCAGCGGGAAGGATGAGCTCCTGTCCGGGCGGAGCATGGAGGCCAAGGGAGCGCTCGGGAGGAGAGGCCCCCGATTCATTAAGCTGAATCCTCAAGGTCCGCTGGCCACATCCCTCTTTCCTGCCCTCCCGCTCCAGGCCTGTGCGAAGTCCACGGGCTGCTGGGTTCGCTGGACGGACAGCATTTGTAAGCAACTCTCTGCCCAGCCCAGTTAATAATTCAGGAGCCGGTGCCTGCAGCCAACCCATCATTCCAGCCCCGCTGCCACCCCGAACGCTGAGCTAGTGGACAGGAAAGAAAAAAATCACCGCGCCGGCTTGAAAAATGGTCCTCACTCCAGGTGCTTGCTGGGTGCTCCGTGCAGGAGGGGGAGAGAGCCGGGCTGAGATGTATCTGGGGGGCCCACAGCGAGGGAAGGATGGAGTGGCCCTGGGGCTGGCGGGCATGCACATGGAGCATTATTCCACCTTTGGATCCTGAGCCGCCTTCGTTTTTGGACAGTGGGCTGTGGGCACTGGAGAGCAGGCCTGGGAGGACCCAGCTCTCTTCTTCTGCTGCAGCCATTCATGCATGTGCTTACTCATTCATTCATCCATCTGTGCCATCACTGATGTCACTGACACAGAAGTGGGCATGGGGGGTGCAGAGAGGGCTGGGGAGCGGCTCCTCCCCCCAGGGAGGTGGGCGCTTGCACGCCCGGGCAGGAAGTGAGAGGCGTGCTGCTCGCAGGCCTGAGAGGAGGGACGGCTGAGTAGGGGCTCTGCGTATGGCTGTGGCCTGTTGCCTGGGTATGCTGGGGCCCCAAGTGGCTCAAGCACAGAAGGAGGGTAAAGAGGTTAAGAGTTAAGATCATGGACTCTGGGGCAAGGCTTCCCAGGCTCAAATCCCTGCCCTGCCATTTACTTCCGCAGAGTTAGCCTCTCTGTGCCTCGGTCTCCCCGTATGTAAAATGGCGTTAATAATGGGAGACTGATGCAAAGCACCTGCATGTATGGTTAAAACAAAAAACCCAAAGTGACTGATACAAAGTGCTGGCAACTTTATGGTATCATCAGACGAGGATTTGGAAGTTTCTTATGAAGTTAAACACATCACACTACCCAACAAGCCCACTCCTAGGTATTTATCCAAGTAAAATGAGAAACTTATGCTCACACAAAAACCTGCACATGAATGTCTATAGCAGCTTCATAATCTGCCCAAACTTGAAACAACCCAAATGCCTTCCAGCCAGAGAACCGAGACACTGTGGAACACTACTCAGCAATAGACATAAAAAAAAGGGTGAATCTCAAATGCATCATGCTAAGTGGAGGCAGGCAGACTCAGAAGGCTACATACCATGTGATTCCATGTGTATGACGTTCTGGAAAACTATAGGGTCAGAAAACTGGTTCGTGGTTGCTGAGGTTGGGGGAGGGATTACTAGCAAGGGGTACGAGGGGATTTTGGGAATGACGGAGCTATTTGGTATTCTGACTGTGACAGTGGACACATGACTCTATATGTTTGTAAAAAATCATAAAACTGTACACTATGAAGGTCAATTTTGCCATGTCTAAATTTTGCCAGGCGGAGAGAACCGCACGTGCAAAAGCACCGAGGCTGGAAATCGGGTTAGAATATAAAGCAGGTTTGAGATGGTGCGTGGGAGGAAGTGTCAGGAGGTGAGGCAGGGAAAACATACTGGACCAGTTCGTGAAGAGCCCTGAATGCTGTGCCCAGTGCTTTGGACAGTGGGAAAATATCAGAAGTTTTTAAGCAATTGAGGGATATAAGCAGATTTTTGTTCCAGAAAGATAGCTCTGTTCTTCTGTTTAGAGAACTAGGCATATAGGCATGACCCTGCCCTCAGAAATGTTTTCATTTGCCTTATGGTTTCTTTCTTTTCTTTTCTTTTCTTTTTTTTTTTTAAGGAATTTGAATGTGTGGCCAGTATATAAAAACTGGGAGATTTTCCACAGAATTCTGGGCGTCTGTCCTCTCTTTAGATGAGACGCAAGCTCTCCTGTTTCCACAGCCCCAGCCCCAGCTTTTATACTGCATCCCCTGCTGATTTTGACCCCAGAGTTGCAAGTGGATCCCAGGAGAGCAAGGTCAAGGGCGGGGACATTTCTCAATCCTGCTGTGAACACTGTCACCCCTGGGGCACGTCGTAAAGCATTGATGCCCAGTCCAGGTTGCCGGGAGAAGCCTGCACATACATATCCTGTAAATGTCCTTCTCCTCCCCGCCATTGTAGTGTGCAGCTGGGGTTGAGGACGGCTGCTCTAAGGGACGGGGACGGGGATGGGGTGGCAGCGGTGGTGGTGGAGAGGTGTGCAGGGACCGATGAGACACAGGGCTCAGGCAGAGTGAGACTCAAAGTGACGTCCAGGGGCCCGGCTTGGACGCCCTCGGTGCCATGATGCCATCTGCTGAGAGGAGACACGGGAGGAAGGGGCGGGCAGGGGACAGCGGTGAACTCAGTTTTGGCCATCGTGCGTCTGAGGAGCCGGCGGCTTCCAGGCTGAGGGCCCCGGTGTGCTTCTGTGAGCTCACCTTTCTCCTCTGGGCTAGGGCAGCAGGGGAAGTGGCAGGGGCAGAGAACGGGGAGATGACATGGCCCAATGTCCCCCAGAGCTGTGCCTGCCGAAGACAGGGGCTCACGTGGTGCCACGGACTGTTTGTGTCCCCCTAAAATTCGTACATTAAAGCCTGTCCCCCCAGTGTGACGGTGTCAGGAGGTGGGAGGGGCCTTCGGGAGGTGGCTGGTGTTGGGGTGGAGCCCCCACGAGTGGGATCAGCGCCCCATACAAGGCCCGTCCGCCTTGCGAGGCTGCCGGCGCAGATGGCTACGCGTGAGCAAGCGTGCCCTCGCCGGACACCTGATCCGCGGGCTCCTCCATCTCGGGCTTCCCAGCCCCTGGAACTGTGAACCACACGTTTCTGCTGTTTGCGAGCGCCGGTTTACGGCATTTTGCCTCAGCCACCCCACAGGACTAAGATACCCGATGCAGGGGTGTCTGCCCTGGGTCATGGGCCAGGCCCTGCTCAGCAACTCTGCCTGGAGGGAGTCGGGGAGAATGTGCTCAAAAGAGGTGCTCGTGGCTGAGAGGAGACTCACCAGGCCAGACACGTGGCGCCCTCGCACCCAGAACCAGTCACCCCTTCCTCAACTGCCAACCCCTCTGCTGGGACATCTCGCCTCCTAGCAGATGCCATGGCTGTGCCTTTTCTTGTTTTTTGCCAATAACCTTTTCTCAATGATCCTCTCGGTGCCTGTGAGTGAAGACAGAAACCACTGTGCCCATTTTAACAGATAAGCAAGGAAAGGGGAACAAAAGCATTTCTTTCGTGCCTATCACTTGCTAGTCCCTGGTATATATATTCATGTAATCCGCATAACCATCCTGTGTATGAAATAGGGGTTGCTGCCCCCCATTTTCCAGATGAGGAAACTGAGGCTCTGAAAGTGTTAAGTGCCTTGCCCAGATGGCCAGCTCAGGAGTGGTAGAGTGGGTACCCGAACCGTGTTCGTGCCCCCCCCCCCCGCGCCCGGCCCCCCCGAGACCCAGGCCGGGATTGCACACACAGACCACACACAGATGGCCTCTCCAGACACCTTTATTGTCTTCGGTGCCCCCTCTGCTTTCCTTCTGGTTCCTAGTGGATGTCTTCACGGCCGTCTCTGGCCCTTCCCCTTTGCAGGCCCACTCACTGCCCCGAGTCCGTGGGATCAGCCAGGGAGGGGCTTCATGTCCTGAGAAAGGAGGGGCAGAGACTGCGGCCCTTCCATCCACCTAGGGATGTTGGCCGAATGGCCCAGAGCTTCCCCGTCGCGGCTCTTCCTGGCTGGGCGGGCTCTGTCACCATTAAGCACTTACCATGGCATCGTCCTGCCACAGGAAGCACTGTCTCAACCCTCTGAACAAAGCACGCTCCTGGCAGCCCTTCTTGTCTCTCCGCCGCCTCTGACCCACACGGAGACATGAGCGGGGGCGTCAGGGAGCCTTTGCTCCTGGGAAGGTTCTGGGTGGAAGCTGCCCAGAGACGGTGCTCAAAAAGGAAGCGTTCAAAGCTCCCCTGGGTGGTGCTCTTCGGGGATGGGCTCCCGAGTCACAGCCCTCCCCAGTGTTCTCTCGAGGCGCGGCTCCCTGTGGGCGGGTGGCACGTGACCTCCCCTGGCGGGCCTCCCCTGGGGACGGTCACTGCGGGCTGTGCTCCCGGGGGTGCTGGCAGGCACGGGGGTGCTCCCCGCGCACTGCGCCCTCCCGCCGGCGCTCCCGCGGACAGCGCGTGCCACAGAGCTTGGCAGGGACCGAGCTCCCTGCGCACGCGGCTGCCCACGTCTGTCGCGCACTCCGGATGGGTCTCGGTGGGGGCGGTCCCAGCCACGGTTGGCACCTGCTTCTCCTGAGCTTGTCATGGCGGGTGTTGGCTGTGGATGGTGCTCCTCATTCAGGATGGCTTCCTCACGGAAGTGTCTTAAGTCTCGGCAGTTCTTAATATAGCCGGCACTCGCCGCAGATCAACGGTGGTCACCACGGCTGAGCCTGGTGTCAGTGCAAGCGGTCCCACCACGACAGCGTCCACTCCAGATGGTTTCGTCGTGGGTGGGTCTTGTTACGGACGCCCGTTGCTGAGGTTCTCGTACTGATGTCGTTACCACTGGCAGCTTTGACTCGGGTGGGGGTCCCCGCGTCGGTGGCCTTGATACTACGGCTCTTCTTACCTACGATGCTTCTCAGTACGGATGGTCCCGGTGTAGGCGGTGCTCAGCCTCAGAAGTTCTCGCCACTTGTGACCTGCCTGCTGACGGTTGCTGCCGCACATGGGACTGTCCGTCGATGTTTTTTGACCCAACCAGTGCGCCCTGTTCAAACGCCTTTCCTGCTTGTTATGGCGATAAACACTCTGGGTGAAATCCGGGTCTGCTGGGCCCTCACGCCTGCAGTTTCTCAAGGGGCCCTAGCTCCTGGAGGGGCTCGGGGGTCGGGGCAGGCTGCTCGCCCTTGGCCACCGTGTTGCTGTTTTTCTTGTCGATTTCCTTCTTGTCCTCCGCGACACTAGTGCTGCTCCTTGGCCCACTTTGCTCGCCGCTGTCCAGCCCGATGCTCTGGCGGCTGCTGGCCTGGGTGGAGGGAAGGCTGCTGGGGGTAGAGAACAGCCCGCTGCTCACCTGGAAGGTCAGAGCGCTGCTGCCCAGGCTGACGAAGCTGAGGCTGGGCAGGCTGCTGCTGCTGCCGCCGCCGCACGGCAGGCTGGGCTCACTCTTCCCCTCCAGGGTGCTTGGCGCTGCGGGCCTGGCTGGACCGCTGGCTCTTTAAGTGGCTGGGGGAGTATGCGTAGGACACCTGGCTGTTCTGCGTGACGGGCACCTGGGGGTTGGGCCTTTTGTTCAGCCGGATGGTCCGATGACTGCCCACTAAGCTGACCTCACTGTTCTCCTCGTCGCCCGAGTACCCGCTGCTCAGCAGGCTGGCGAGACTGCATTGCTCCAGGCTGGGGTGTCGCGTGCCCAACGCATGGCTCTCGCTGCTCCAGGCGTTCCCCAGGTTACTACACGAAACTCTCAGGGGCTCCTCAGTCGCTCCTGCATGGTGTGGCTGCGCGTGGGTTTGGAGCGCTAAGCTGGGTGACTCTAGGCTCCGCACTTGTCCCTGAGCATTCTGGGCAGAAGACTCCCCCTTTTCTCCCTTGAGGAAAATGGGGGGCAAAGGAATTGGTTTATCCAGGAGGAGGGGGCCCTGGGAGGCCTCTGAATGGTGCTTGTGGCCTGTCTGGGGGGAGGTGACTCAATTTATAAGGCTGCCCTTTGAAAACTGGGTGTTCTGATTGGCTGGCTCAGTTCCCATGGTGATGGGGTCTGTGAGGCGGGGGGCAGGGAGGGAGGGAGAACAATGCTGTCCCAGCACCAGTCACACTGGAGGGGGCCTGGCCCGGAGGGGGTGGGTCACTCAGGAAAGGGGCTTGTGGCCAGACGGGGTGAGAACGCCTTCCCGGGGGCCTCTCTGAGGGGCCTGTGGCCTCCGCTTGCCAGCCACTGGATCTGGCGGAGGCCTGGGTGCATGCCCCTGCCGAGCCCCTTAAAAGCTCTGTCTCTTCGTCTCGGCACCTCTGCCTCCTTGCCGAGGTGGCTGTGAGGATGAGAGAGAAGACCACAGTCAGGAGTTTAACCTCAGTTCTTTGCCAGGTCTGCAAGGCCCTGCCTCTTCTGGTCTCCCTTCCCCGATGAACACCACACTCTTAGCCCTTCCTCACCTGGCTGCCCAGCCAGGCTGGCCGCGCTCTCATTCTGAGCTGTTACCTGCCACAGGGCATTTGTACTGGCTGCTCCCACCTGGATGCTCTTCTGTGGCCCCTCATCCTTCCTCAGTCTTGAGATCTCAGCCTAAGTGTCCCTCTCGCAGGGAGCCTCCCCCGACCTCCCCAAGAAGATCCTTCCAGTATTCTTCATGCCACTTCCTAATTGATGTTTCCTGTGACATTAATGAATTACGTATTGGTTATTTACTGCCAGTTCCCTCGGCCAGAATGCAAGCTTGGTGAGGGCAGAGACTGTGATTTCTTAGCCTCTGTTCTGGCCCTGATGCCCCGCCCAAGGCCTGGTACTTAATAGATACTCACTAGACATTGATTGATTGAATGAATGAATGAGCCACCCTGCGGTGTGCATCACAGCCACCTGGGGGACTTTTAAAAAGCATGTTTGGATTTTCTAGGACTGTGGTTTTTGTCCTCAGCCGCCCATTGGAATCGCCTGGGGATGCCTAGGTCCCACCCCAGAGGTTCTCAGTTAATTGGTCTGAGGTGACGCTTTGCCAACAGAATTTGGCAAACGGCTCTCCAGGGGATTCCAGTGTGCGCCAGTGTTGAGACTTGTGCTAGGACACAGCTGTGCATTTTTGTAGGCGATTGTGATGTGCAACCCCAATGAAGTAGACTGCAGATGGAAACACACACCTATTTATTACCCGACACTTAAGAGATGTTTGAGTGATGGACCGAATTAAGATTTCATTGACCCCTGAAGAGTTCATGGGTGGGTTTTAAGGACTTTGAGAATTCATTGAAATTGTGTGCAAAATTTGTGAAGAGCTGCACACACAATTCTTTTTCCCCTAAGGAAGGAGTTATAGCTTCCATCAAATTCTCAAGGGTATCCCCGATCCCCCAAAATCAAGAAATATAAAGATTCAACGCAACTCGTGCCTTAGTGTTTGGAAGGCCTTGGTGCTTAGCATGGCCCTAATAGGTGTGAAGAGGGCTTGCTCTGTTTGGGAAGCAGGGTCAGGGGAGAAGGAAGACACACCTCAGAGAGAAAGCCACTCAGCCCCTTGACGGTCATTGCTAATTATCACTGTCATCTTTATTATGAATTCCTTTCCCACTGGGGAGGCATTCAGCTTCCCTTTGCTGTACTCAGAGCATGCATAGCTTTTGCTCCAGAAATTCCGATCCTCTGGGGTGGGGAGGGGCATCTCATGGCTGTGTGACTCCCTGTCCCACAGCCCCCTGTGCTCCCCACTAGGACTGGCAGAGAGACACAGTGGCTTAGTGGTGACGCTCAGAGTAAGGGATGTGGTGGGACCCGACTGTTGTGAGAAGCAGGGACAACAGCCCTTCAGGGGACTGGCTGGAGGGAGGCAGGGGGTCGGGCGCCAGGCAGGTGGGCTGGGACTCAGGACTGGCTCTGTCCCTGCGAGAATCCAGAACAGGGCAGATGCCCCAGTGCTGGAGATTTATGGTGAGCCTGTTGGGACATGGCTTCCCTCCCTCCCCACTCCCCACCTCACCTGACCCAGGTATGGGCCGGAGGACTGGGTGAGACCCGGGCTTGTTCAGGATAAATGGTGAGAACATGTAGTAATCCCAAACCCCCTTCCCGCATAGCACACGGAACGCCAGATCCGTAGCCTGTGGGTACACTGAGGCCACACGGCTCAGCTTAGTGCCCACCTTCTTGAGAGCTTATTTGGAGGTTTTAGCAGGGGAATGGCCCTCCTCTACTGGGGAAGGCTTGCATCTCATTCTGGGGACCACGTACCCGACTGCCTTTCTTGTTTCCAGCCTATTGCTGTTTGCCCCTAGAAGCCCTCCTCTCACCCAAACACACATTCCAGCCTGTCTCCCGCTTCCCTTTCTCTCAAGGATGTCAAATTCCTCACACAGGTGACTGCTGTCCACAGGACCAGCAGCCCGGCAGTCACAGCCTGACTCTGAGTCCCAGAGTCAGGCTCAGACAGGAAACCTCATTTCAATCACGTTATCTGTGGATCCTGGACACGAGTGTCTCCCCTTCTCTGGTGTGGCAGAGACAATGCTATGTGTTCATCATCAGACTATCTCACTTCCCTCCTGGGCCTGTAGGAAAAGTACGTTTCTAGCCCCCTCGCATCTAGTGGGGCTAACAGAGTGGGCATAAGGGCTGTTCACCACTCAAGGCCTGGGCCACAAAACAACCCCCATACATGGTCTTTCTCTTCCTTCCCTTTCCGAGTGGACCTCGGAAACCATGCATTGACGGTGGCAGAGCGCCCTAGTGGCTGGAGCCTGGGTCCCTGAAAGACTGTGTGGAGAACCCCCACCCCCACCCAATGCGTTTGTGATGTCAGGGAGTTAAGCCATCAGGATTGGGGGTTATTTGTCTGCTGTACATGGACTAATGCACCATGTGCCTAGACACAGTCAATGGATTTTACTGGATTTAGCTTTACCCTGAAGCTTTCTGCCCCAACACCTGCCCTTGAGAGTCTCAGCAATGCTTTCTCCTATTATGAGGATGGAAAAGGATATATTACCAGAGAGAACTTCGCCAGCCCAGAAGATTGGCCATTAGCCCTGGGCCTCCAACCCTAATATTCATCATGAAATTCCAGCAGAAACCCTTGCTAAGTTAGGCGTCAGATCTCTGAGTGCAACTCCCCCCAAGCACTCCTGATTCCAGCATGTTGCTTGTTTTCATTCATTCATTCAACAAATGTTTCTCGAACTCATATTCTTTTCCTTCCACCAATATGTATTGAGTTCTAGCTCTGTGTCGGGCAATGTGTGGGCCTCAGAGAGCTTCTATTCATGGAAGGAGACAGATGTAAAGAAGTAAACATCTGCTGTGTGATGATAAATGTTAGGGGGAAAATAAACCAGAACGAGGGAGTGTGAGTGTGTGTACACACTGGGCCACTGTTTTCAAGCACAGGAGCCGCAGGGAGGATAGGCCCTGTGGGCTCTGCTTAGGGCTTTGGGTTTCACTCTGAGTTGGGGGCCATGGGAGTTTCCAGCAGGGGCGTGACATGAGGGGACTGGCGTTTGAACAGGTGCCCCGTGAAGAACAGCCTGGGGGGCGAGGTGGAGCCGGGAGCCAGGATTTGCTGAGGGATTAGACAGGGGGATGAGAGGAAGAGAGGGCTCTGCCTCCAGTCAGCTGTGCCACCTGGGCAGGTGATCCGAACCCTCTCAGCCTCAGTTTCCTCCTCAGTAAACTGGGCTCGCAAATGTTAGCTGCTGATGTCCTCGGGATCAGGGAGTGTGGCCTGGGTCCCCAGTGCCTGGCAGAGGCTGCAGTGTTCCATACGGTTTTGCTGAGTGAATGAATGTAAGAGTGGTGTGCTTTTACATTTGGTAAGTTCCGTTTGGAATATTATACATGGAAATTGTCTTTTTATCATCAATAGAAGGCAAACTAGATTTGTTTGTTTTGGGGGTGGATTAAAGGAGAAAGTTATATCTTACCCTGATGCTGATTCCTAAAGTTGGAAGGATGTAAATGCAGGTTGGGGCGGGGGGACTCTGGTGGTGGGTGGCAAGGTGTTAGACATTTGGAGAACAGCCCTTGCTTGTTAAGTCCCAAGTTACAGATGAGGAAATTGAGGCTCAGTGAGGGCAAAGAGATTTCCTAAAGCGGAACGGCTTCTAAGCAGCAGCGTTGGGATTCAAGCAGGGTTTGGTGACTGCCCAGTCCAGTCTAACTCTGGGGCTGCACGCCTGAGCTACAGGTTTGCAAATGAGGGACAGACCGTTTGTGTCATGGCAAAGGGACGGGGAGACAGTGAGCAGGAACTGGATGCTCAGAGAGACGGCGCACTGGGACAGAGCGGGTGGGGTGGAAGTAGGACCCGGAGGGCCCTCTGTCCTTTGCACCTGAGCGCGCACGACCCAGGGGTGTGACTTCGTGTGCCCCGGACGATAGAGCCTCAGTTTCCTCATTTATAAAAGTGAGTAACAGTCAAGTAAGTGTGCCCCCCTCTCTGGGCTTTTGGGGTGTGGGTGGGGGCTCCCCTGAACTCCTGGAGGAGAAAATATCGCGGGGGGCAGAGCAGGTGGTCACCTGGCCCCCAGCCCCACGCGACTGCCGCTCTCAGCCCGCGCTGCACAGCCAGTTCAACCCCGCGCTGCCAGCCAGGCCTGGGCTAGCCCTATGCGCCTTGTCATCCAATTGTCCCTCCACGTTCGCAGAGGGGAGGAATTATTGGCAGAAAATGAGGACATAAAACCCCGCTGGAGCCTAGCACCTTTTTGGGGCGCTGGGCTCCGAGCACTTGGACGCCGCCCCGCAGATTGGTTCATTTTTAATGGTCTAGGACTATAGTTCATCTGCTTAATTCGAACGAGGTGACATAATATCTTTCATTTGGACTTATTACCAGCGCGGTGGCGATTGGGCTCCCAGCGTTCCCGGGCAGGACACTCTGTCATTACCGCGCGGTCTCTCTCCGAATTGGAAGTCCGCTGGCGGCCGCAGCCCCAGCACAGGGATCGGCAGAGAGGGGGTCACGCCGGGTGTTAAGGAATGAAAATGAATTCATTCTTTCCTCCGTTGAATAAGCAGCTGTACTTGGGTCTCCGTGATCCATGAAATAGGCTGTCAGGAAAATAGGAAATGGGCTGTGTTTGGACTTCACTGGTGATTCTGCCCCCAGCACGCTGGAAACCGCAGCTGCCGCCTGGGGGGTTGGGGTGCGTGAGTTCACGGGCACCTGGCGTTC